GCCGACGCTCTGGCTGCGGGGGAGGCCGGCGATACGGTTGTGTTCGGCCCGGGCCACCCCTGGGGGGTAGGTACTGAATCAGAAGTTTTTTTTTTTTTTTCGTTATGGACGATGTTTTTTTTTTTTCTGCAAAAATTGCGTTCATTTTTTTTTTTGGAGGGGGGGGGTGGGGGATATATTGGTACGATTCATCACGTCGTTGGCGGTTGTGGTGAATCGAAGAGGTTGTTTTTTTGGTGTGTGTTGTGTTGTGCGGAGCTTTGTGTTGTCCGAACCGCCGTCATAGTTTTTTTTCGTGAGCACGGCGGTGTATGTGTGGGATCTTTTTGTCACTTGTTGGCGGTTGTTTATTTAAAGGCCTTGGTCTTGGCGTAGTCACGTGGGGGGTGTTGGTGCCGGTGCCACTATTATCCTGTTGGTGATGGCACTGGGATGTTGTTGTTGTCGTTGATGATGATTTATTTGCATGTGTAGTTGTTGTTGGTGATGATATTGAACGTGCTGTTGTCGTTGGTGATGATATTGAACGTGCTGTTGTCGTTAGTGATGATGCTGACTGCTGTCGCTATTTACTTCTGCTGTTGCCACAAACAGGACGACCTGTCGTCGGACAGGGCTGTCCGCATCCTCGGCGAGGCCACCGACCCCTCCAGAGTCCTCGTCGAGATGACCGGCTCTGTGCGCTGGACGGCTCCCAAGGGGCTCGTCGTCGGGGTTTCCCTCAGGCGCCCGAGGCCGTGCCCTGACAAGGGGCCCCTTATCAAGGTCGATAGTGGCGGCAATCTACAGGTCAGTGTTCGTTCGGTTTGGTTTTGGCCTTCGCTTTTTGGGCGGGAGACGTGTGTAGCGTTCGAGTTGGGGGGGGACGTACGTGAGCGCAACGGTAGCTGTTGAGCCACGCTGGTTTGGCCTTCGCTTTTTGGGCGGGAGACGTGTGTAGCGTTCGAGTTGGGGGGGGGACGTACGTGAGCGCAACGGTAGCTGTTGAGCTACGCTGGTTTTTGTTCGCTCGCCGCCACGCACACCCCGTTCCTCAGCGGCGCCCCATTTTCGCTGTGCCTGCACTCGCAACCCCCCGCCCCCCCCGCCCCCCCCCCCTTCGCAAACGCACGAATAATGCGCGACAGCTCTCCGCCTGCCACGTGAACAACAAGCAAGCGGGGGAGGCCTCCCCCGGCCTGGAAGTCACCGACGCCAACTCCATCCTCTTCCTGGAGCGGTGCCGGGTGCAGGACGCCCGGGGCGACGGCGTCAGCTGCGGGCCCGGCGGCTCGGTCGCTGTGGTCGGCTGCGAGATCTCCGGCAGCGGGGGCGCCGGGGTGCTGGTCAGGGGCGGCGGCCGCGCCGTCCTGAACGACTCGTACGTGTACTGGAACGGCGGGGCCGGGGTCCGGGTCGAGCCCAGGGCCGTCATGTCGCTGGAGCACAACGACTGCTCGCTCAACAAGGGCGGGCCGATGCACTCGGAAGGCATGATTAGGGTGAGTGGTGGTTTGGGGAGACTGCCTACGACATGGTAGAGATTCAGTTTGACTGTGAAATTGAGAGGCTGGGGTTGCGTAGACTCCATCAGTATCCTCCGAAATCCCACCGATGTTCATACTCTGTGCAATGTGTTTGCTTGATACGTCGAAGTAATAAAATGCGTAGAGTGAGTAGGGGTTCGGAGTGTGTCGGTGTTCGTTTAGATGCCCTTGCCGTGATGGGGCGTTTGCGCGGGCGGGTGAGCGAGGGGATATACTGTAGCGTCGAATCCTCCCGAAGGGAAAGCTCATCCGTGAGCAGCTGCCGTTGTTTCCCAAGTGTGTTTTAGTTGTTGTGAGGTTCCTGCGTAGTTCTGTCCATCTGTCCGTCTGACTGTCGGTCAGTCTGTCTGTCTGTCTGAGGTGTCTTATCTGTTTCTCTGGTCCCTATTTCTCACTCGCATCCATATGTCTCATTTCGAACGCCATCATCCCCCCCGCACCCGCACACATATCCCGCTGTCAGACCGACGTCCTTTCATTGGTCCGCCGGCTACCGCGTTCGATGCTACTCCTTTTCAAGAACCGCAAAACCAACCCCTGACGCCACCACAAGCTCACACAACCGCCTGTCCAAGCAGTTCGCTCTCCTCTCCCCTCATCCACGGAAGTACGGTTGCGCTTTCTCTTTCCCACCTCCCCACCCCCTGCGAAAATCCAGGTTTCCCGACGGAACTGTTGCGTGATGTCCAAGAGGGACACAGCCCCGCTCCCGGAAGGATTCCGTGCCCAGGACCATGCCGCGAGACACGCACCCTACTACGAGGGGCGCGGGGACGATAGCCTCGACGATGCGGCCTCGTCTTCCTCCTCTGACCACGAAGACGTCGATGCTGGCGTGAATGGGGACGGCGGCGGAGGCGGTGTCAAGAGGAAGCGGGACGGGGAGAACGGCGGCGGCGAGGGCCGCGGCGGCGATGCTGCCGCCACTGGCGGCGCGGCGACTATCCCCAAACTCGGCGATCGGTCTTTGGCGGCTACGGCGACGACCGTGGCAAACGGGGGGAGCACTGCCGGCGTTGGCGGCGCTCCCGTTGCCCCAGCAGCAGCACCGCCAGCAGCAGCAACAGCGACAGGAAGGCCAGCAGGCGTGGCAGCAAGAGGAGGAGTAGCAGCCGCCGCCGCCGCTGTCGCCGCCGCTCCGGCTAGCGCGGAGCAACGGCTCTCTCACCCCCTTCGCCACGGCCAAGCCCAACCGCTGGTTCACGGGCAGTCGGCGACGACGGTGGCGGCGGCGGCGGCGCTCGGGAGAAGCGTCGCTGCCTACGCGGCACGGAACACCTACCAGCAAGCTTGGATGCCGTCTCCGGCGACCACCGCGCAGCCTGCACGGGTGTCTTCAACGGGTACCCCGACCCCGACGGCTGGGCCTCCGGCGCCGTCGACCTCTGGGTGGGCAGACATCAGCAGCAGGGGTCTGGCGGGCGGGGGTAGCAGCAGTGGCCAGTCGTCAAGGTCGAACGGAGCAAGGAGCGCCGGTCCTTCTTCGTCTGCGTCTGGCGTCGGTTCTTCCTCCTCAGCCGGTGCCGCCGGTGCCGGTGCTAGCGGAGGTGGACGCTCCTTGGGACGGGGAAGCGGCGGCGCAGAAGGCGCGGCGGCGGCGGCGACGACGACAATGCCGGCGGCGGTGGGGATTTCCGGTCGGAGGACGGGGCCCGCTTCTTCGGGAGCGGCCACGGTTCGCGCGGCAGCGGCCGCCGCCGCCGCGCAGGCGCGGGCGCCGGGGGGCTACACGTCGACCGCGGAGTACCTCGGCCTTCGCGCCCTCCTGGCGCCGGCGCCGGCCTCTGGCTCCGTCCAGCCCCAAGCCCGACCGTCGCCGGCGCTCGTTAGCCCCACCACCG